ATGCTACCAGAGCTTGCTCACTCTCTCTCTCTCTCTCTTTCTCTCTATCTATACACATATATACACATGCATACACACACACACACAGCACAGCAGTGTCCTTACCGCTTTTTAACTATTTTGATGATGGTGGTGGTAATGTGCCATCGAGTCAGTTTCAATTCATAGTGACTCTGTATAGGGTTTCCAAGGCAGTAAATCTTTATGGGAGTAGGAAGCCTCATCTTTCTCCAGCAGAGCGGCTGGCAGAGTCTAACTGCTAACCTTGCGGTTAGCGACCCAACATGTAACCACTACACTACCAATGCTCCCTATTTTGGTAATACCTTCTTACAACTGCTAATTTCAACATACAGCTATTCAGCATTATTCAGTTTCTTCATCATCAAAAAATACTGACTAGGAGATTGGGTGAGGCATTATGAAGGATTTTTCTGTAATCTTCCCTGGGACCCAGGCGGTGGTGGCTCAGTGGGACATCCTCTCCTTTCATGCAGTACGTACGCCGGGGTTGAATTCCTGGCCAGTGCCCCCAGGCACCACCACCACTTTTCTGCTATGAATGTCTGCACATTGCTATGATGTGGACAGGGTTCAGTGGAGCTTCCAGATTCAAATGGATTAGGAAAAAGGACCTGGTGATCTATTAATCTCATAGGAGTTAGAAATAAAGTATAGTCAAGGATAAAGAATAAAATAATTTATTTAAAAAATAATATCCAGCATCAATTGTTACATGTTTGCTAGGTCTGAAGAGTGGGGGATTAGTATTTCATTAGCACATTAAATTTGAGGATCAGGAAACATTATGGCAAAAAATAAAATAATACCTATTTAAAACTAAAAAATAAAAGTGAACAGCAAGCCACTATGAGGAAAAGAGACTTTATATTAAGAAAATGTCACCATGTGATGAAAATAACAACCTTTAATAAGTACCAACAGAGTCAGAGATTTGATTTGCAGGAATTTTAGAAAATATTATTCTTAGAAACTTTTGATTCATGGCTATGAAGAGGTGGACTCAGAAATACATGACTAGACCTCACATTTCTTGTTCAGTGCCATGGTGTCAGTTCCAATTCATAGCAACTCCTTATAGGGTTTCCAAGGAGCAGCTGGTGGGTTTGAACTGCCAACCTTGTGGTTAGCAGTCTAATGCTTATCCTACATCTCCCCATCAGAACCTCATACTAGCAGGGTATGATAAAGAGAAGAGGGGCATGGACTACGAAAAAAATAGGAAGAATGCCTTCACTCACAGGTCTCTATAAAAATATTTTTTAAAAAATCTAAGCAATCATGTATTATAACTATATTCTGGGATTATAAAATTATGATAGACAAGATTTAAACTTAATGAAACTGTAAACATATAAACTATTCCTTAATTGTAAGTAAACATAAAATCCCCTGCCGCTATTATGTTCTATGTACCATTATAAAATTCTATCTTTTCCACTTGTTACCTTTTCTGGTTTCTTGTTTTTCACATTCTGAGAAATGACAAAGGCCTTTAGAGATCCATCAGTCAGCCCTTTCATTTCACAGATAAAGGAAGGGCAGCAGCTTGCCCACAGTAAACTCATCCTCTGTGGGAGAGGTTGAACTAGAACCAGTTCTCCTGACTCCTTATTTGATGTTACACCAATAACAACATAACATGACTCACACTCCACCCCACCTCTAATCTGCACTTAAGTTGCTCCTTCAATATCACATGGACAAAAGTGCTGGGAGAGAAAGGTATAGTTCTGTTTGGAGCCTTTCTGGCTTTTAATGAGTCTGGGGCACTAGAAGAGATGGTGATAAAATACATCTATTACATCTAAACAAAGTCTTTAAAAAATAATCAAAACATCCTCAGCTACCCTGAGCACACAAATAAGAAGTATTTCCTGGAAACAGCACAGTGTGTGAGAGATACTTATTAAAGGCTGCCATAGAGAGGTTATTGATTTTAAAGGAGAACATCTGGCCAATCATACACCTCTCAGAAGCACTACAAATAAATCCCTGGTTACAAACAATGACTAAGTTGGAGAGCTCCAGGCTCCAGGGGAGTCTTTGCACCACTCCATGGAGTTTCCAGGCACTATGCCATCAAGGGGGTTGCTAATCACTTAAAGGCATTAACTCCAAATGTGCACAAATTGCAGCAGAAAGGAAAACACTTTTAACTAGATTGTTTTTCAAAGCTCCACCATGCTCATATCTATTTCTATTTCATACTCATCAGCACTCAACATTGTGAATTTTTTTTTCCTGCAATCTCTATGTCTAGGTGACAATAACAGGAATGCTTTATTATTGCATCTGCGAACAATGTCTCACAAGAGAAAGTGGTCATATCTCTTGGGGCCATTACCCTTTGAGAAGGACAAAATTCAGAAAATGGAAGGACAACCACATTCTAAAAATATCCATTGCATATATTTTTGTCCAACATTCAATACAAGAAATATCAGTTGAGCACACTCTTTGTCATATCCACAAACTAGGGAAAAGGTAAGTGTTCTTAAGACTCTGATAATCTTGTTTACCAAATCATCAAAAAATTTCCATAGCACCTGAGGTCTTAAAAGCTTGCCAGACACCAACCAAGATACAACAGTTGGTGTCTATTCACCTGGAGCAGTAGAAGGAGACCCAAAACTAAAGAAACAAATGGACTGCAGGTGTAACTGTCTTCATAAACTACCTCCTTTGCTATAAGACCAAAAACAAATGGTTGGTGCCTGGCTACCATTTTACCAAGGACCCAATAGATGGGTCCTGATCAGAAGGAAGAAAATGTGTAAAACAACATCAAATTCTTATGCAAATCAGTTATATCAATGCATCCATTGAGACTTGGGAAAAGACCTCAATCTACTATTCTGAAATAATCTATAGACTTTGAACAGAAAATATCAGACGAAGTCATCTGCAAGCAAACCCAACAGTTTAACTCAGTTAATAAAGAATGTCAGCCTTAAACAGTTTACTCTTTTAAATAATGATCTACACGAGATCAAGTTGACAACAGTAACTCTAAAGCCCAGATGAGAAGATTGAGGGACAAAGAAAGTAAAAATTAAATGATGGTGCAACAATATGTTTGGAGATAGAACAGAGGCACAATGTAAAGAATGTAATCAATGGCCTTGATCTGTATATGTAGAAATTTTTGAATGGGTCTATGCTTTTTGCACCATTTCCACACAAACACACACATATACATACACAATTTTTAAAGTATTATATTTCCATCGGTTTTCCTGCAGAAATTTCTTTCTGTGTGCTATTGGCTCCTGTAAGAATAAGGCTGTCTTCTATTTTAAAAATTTCCTAAAAAGTACTTTCTCAAGTGAAGACAAGTAATTTATTTAACAAGAGGCACTCAGCCACGTGTTGCGTGTTTTTGTCTCAGTCAATAAATTGACCTATTTCTTGTCTTTTTCCAGATAGTTTGTTGTGTCTTATACACAGACTCCTGAAAAATTCTTTCTACTTGGGTATGAAAGCCCCGACTTCCTTCCTCTAGGGCATTGATAGTTCGCAGAGCAAAGGGAGTTCTTTCTTGGGGAAGAGGATTGCTCAGGGGCCGCATGGGTATAACAGAGTTGTATTTGTGCTGCCTGTTGACAGAGTTCATTAGGGATGAATAAAATTGGAACTTACACCAGGTATCTCTTAAAAAGTTTTCAGTCAGTAATAAGATTGTCCATGCAGACCCATTTACAGCATCATCTAAGTTCTGTAAATGCTGTCTGCCACATGGCATCTCAGCAAAAACGATTCCAGGTTTGATACCAAAGTCATCTTCTAGCAGATTCTGGACTCTGAGGGCTTCACTGACATCACTTTCTGCATGCAGTATCACAAACTTGAAGAACACCTCTTCTTCTTCTTCTTCTTCCTCTTCCTCTTCGAGTACCTCTCCTGTTCTCTCAGCATCCTTTTGCTCTCCTGTTGGCTCCTCTGTTATACTCCTTTGTTCAGGCTGATTACGCAAAGAAATTTCTTCTGATGCCTTGGATTCTGACTCATGATGTCTTGGACTTGTATCCACACTGCGGCTTTTACCCCAAGAGAGAGAAAGTGAGCAGGGATCTATCTTAGATTTCCCAATACCCATTATAAATATCCACACAAAAAGTTTGTTGTTGTTAAGTGCTGTTGAGTTGGTTCCAACTCATAGCGACCCTGTGTAGGGTTTCCGAGAGGTGACTGGTAGGTTTGAACTGCCGACCTTGTGGTTAGCAATCCAGTGCTTATCCTACAGCATCACATCAGGGCTCCAAATCAGAAGAGGAGAACTTTATTTATTTCTCAGCATTTCTTTTCATTCTAAAAAAAGAGAGAGACAAAGAACAAAGCAGATGAATATTGTACCTTTAATCCAAACATTAAAAGAGTGGTGATTGTTATGCATCATGATGAATGTAAAATAGGGAAATGTTTTGTTACATATATTTTATGTAGTAGAAGTTTTTATTAAAAAACACTAAAAATGGAAATTCATTCAATCTGAAGAGTTCAAATACAAACACATTATATATAATACATTTGTTGTTGTTAGGTGCCATCGAGTGGGTACCAACTCAGAGAAACCCAATGCACAACAGAACGAAACACTGCCTGATCTTGGGCCAGCCTGACACTGGTTGCTATGCCTGAGCTGCTGCTGCTACTACTGTGTCAATCCAGCTTGTTGGGGGTCTTCCTCTTTTTCTCTGACCCTCCACTTTACCAAAAATGACATCCTTCTGCAGGAAGTGGTCCCTCCTGACAATATGTCCTAAGTATGAGAGGAAGTCTGGACATCCAAGCTTCCAGGGAGCACTCGGACTGCACTTCTTCCAACAGAGATCTGTTTGTTCTTTAGGCAGTCCATGGTACTTTTAATATTCTCCTCCAACACTATATCTCAAATGCATCAATTCTCCTATCGTTTTCTTTATTCACTGTCCAACTTACACATGGATATGAGTTTATTGAAAATACCATGGCTTGGGTCAGTCGTACCTTAGTCTTCATACTGACATCTTTGTTCATCAACACTTTTAAAAGGTCTTGTGCAGCAGATTTGTTTAATGCAATACGTCATTTGATTTCTTGATTGCTGCTTCCATGAGTATTGATGGTTGATCTGAGCAAAATAAAGTCTTTGACAACTTCAATCTTTTCTTGATTGATAACGATGCTGTTTATTGGTCCAGTGGTGAGGATTTTTGTTTTCTTTACATAGAGATCAACCCACACTGAAGGCTGTGGCATTTACTCTTCATCAGTAAGTATTTTAAGTCCTCTTCTCTTTCAACAAGCATGGTTGAATCATCTGCATATTGCAGGGTATTAATGAGTCTTCCTCCAATTCTGATGCCACGTTTTTCTTCATATAATCCAGCTTCTTGGCTTATTTGCTCAGTATACAGATTGAATAAGTATGGTGAAAGAATACAACACTGACACATACCTTTCCTAATTTTAAACCACCCTGTGTTCCCTTGTTCAATTAGAACAACTGCCTCTTGGTCTATGTGCAGGTTCTTCATGAGTACAATTAAGTATCCCAGAATACTCATTCTCCGAAATGTTGTCCATAGCTTGTCATGACCTACACAATCGAAGGCCTTTGCATAGTCAATAAAGCACAGGTAAATATTTTTCTGGTATTCTCTGCCTTCAGCCAAGATCCAATTAACATCAGCAATGATATCCCTTGTTCCACATCCTCTTCTGGATTCAGCTTGAACCTCTAGAAGTTCTCTGTCAATATATGGTTGTAGCCAAATTGGTATTACCTTTGGTAGAACATTACTTGCATGGGATATCAACGATATTGTCCAATGATTTCTGCATTCCATTAGGTCACCTCTCTTTGGAATGGGTACAAATATGGATCTCTTCCAGTCAGTTAGCCAGGTAGTTTTCTTCCAAATTTCTTGACATAGATGAGTGAGTGCTTCCAGTGCTGCATGAGTTTGTTTAAAGATTCCAATTTGTATTCCATCTATTCCCATTGCTTTGTTCTTTGCCAATGTCTTCAATATGCCTTGAACTTCTTCCTTCAGGATCATTGGCTCTTGATCATATGCTACCTCTTGAAATGGTTGAACATGGACCATTTCTTTTTGGTACAGTGACTCTATGTTATTTCTGCCTTCTTCTTTTAAAACTCTCTGCATTGTTCAATATTTTGTCCATAGAATCCTTCAACACCACAAATCGAGGCTTGAATTTTTTCTTTAGTTCCCTCAGCTTGAGAAATGCTGAGTGTGTTCTTCCCTTTTGGTTTTCTAACTCTAGGTCTTTGCACATTTCATTATAATATTTAACATTTTTCTTCTCATGATTACCTTTGAAATTTTTTGTTCAGCGCTTGTGCTTTCTTATTTCTTCCATTTACTTTAGCATCTCTATGCTGGAAACCAAGTTGCAGAGTCTCTTCTGCCATGCATTTTGGTCCTTTCCTTCTCTCTTGTCTTCTTAATGACCTTTTGCTTTCTTCCTGTATAATGTTCTTGATGTCATGCGACATCTCTTCTGGTCTTTGGTCTTTAGTGTCTAGTGCATCAAACCTACTCCTCAAATGACCTCTAAATTCAGGTGGGATACATTCAAGGTCATATTTTGGCTCTTGTAGGCTTGTTTTCATTTTCTTCAGCTTCAGCCTGAATTTGCATATGAACAATTGATGGTCTGTTCCACAGTTTGCCCCTGGACTTGTTTTGGTTGATGATATGGAGTTTTCCCACCATCTTCTTCCTCAAATGCAGTCAATTTGATTTTTGTGCATTCTACCTGGTGAGGTCAATGTGTATAATTGTCTTTTATGTTGTTTAAAAAAGATATTTGTGAAGTTCGTGCTGCAGTCTGTGGCTCTGTCTTGCTTCAACAATGTTTGGATAGAACAGATCTGGGGACTCCCCCACCTCCAGCCTTGGACCACCTCTAACAACTTCTTTAGGCATAATCCGGGACAATCTTCTTGACCATTTCCTATTACCAGGACCAGCTAAACACCGTTTTTTTGTTGTTATTGTTTTTGTTGTTTGTTTTTTTGGTGTGTGTGGTTAGCTCCAAATCTTCGACCAACCATTAGCTCTCAGATCCGTAAGAATTATTCTGCTGAAGCGGAGGCCGGTGTCAACTGTCTGTTAAACTGCATCTTCAGGCCTCTTACACCTACCTCTATCTGGGCTTCTATTTTGATCACGATGATGTGGCTTTGGAAGGTGTGGGACACTTCTTCTGTGAGTTGGTGAAGGAGAAGTGCGAGGGTACTGAACATCTCTTGAAACTGCAAAACCAGTGTAGTGATCACGCACTCTTCCAGGACATGCAGAAGCCCTCCTAAGATGAGTCGGGAAGAACCTTGGATGCCATGGAAGCCATGCTGGCCCTGGAGAAGAACCTGAACCAGTCTCTTTTGGATTTGCATGCCATGGGTTCTACCCACACTGACCCCCACCTCTGTCACTTTCTGGAGAACCATTTCCTGGACCAGGAGGTGAAAATTATCAATAAGATGGGCGACCACTTGACCAACCCCCATAGGATGGCCGGTCTCCAGGCAGGGTCAAGAGGCTCACTCTCAAGCACGACTAGGAAGAGCCTGTGGAGCCCCGCAATCTGTGAAGGGCCTTTCAACATTCCCCTGTTCTCCACAGACCTTCTGCCTGAACCTTGCTCTCCAGACACAGAGGTAGCATAGTCAACACCCTGGAGCCCCTCTTCTCCCAAGCCATGGACCAAATGAAAACAATAAAGCTTCCTTTTATAGAAAAAAAAAAAAAAAAAGAAGAAGAAGAAGAAGATATTTGCAAGGAAGAAGTCATTGGTCTTGCAAATTTCTATCATGCAATTTCCAGCATCCTTTGTATCACCAAGGCCATATTTTATAACTACTGATCCTTTCTGTTTCCAAGCTTTGCATTCCAATCATCAGTAATTATCAAAATACATCTTGACTGCATGTTTGATCAATTTCAGACTGAAGAAGTTGGTAGAATTCTTCAATTTCATCCTCAATGGCTTTAGTATTGGTGCATAAATTTGAATAATAGTGGTATTAACTGGTCTTCCTTGTAGGCGTATGGATATTATCCTATAACAGACAGTATTGTACTTCAAGACAGATCTTGATATGTTCGTTTTGAAGATTAATGCGACACCATTCCTCTTCAAATTGTTACTTCCAGCATAGTAAAACCATGTGATTGTCAAATTCAAAATGGCCAATACTAGTCCATTTTAGCTTACTAATTCCTAGGATATCAAAGTTTATGTGTTCCATTTCACTTTTGACAATTTCCAATTTTCCTAGATTCATCTTTTGTACATTCCATGTTCTGATTATTATGTTTACAGATGTTTTTCTTCATTTTGAGGTGTGCCCAATTAGCAAATAAAGGTCTTACTCCATTTGTGTCATCACGGTCAACTCTACTTTAAGGAGGCATCTCTTCCCCAGTTGCATTTTGAGTGCCTTCCAACCTGAGCGGCTCATCTTCTGATCTATACCTGACAATATTCTGGTGCTCTTCATCATGTTGCAGTTTTCAATATTCTGGTGCTGACAGTGTTCTACTGCTATTCATAAGGTATTCAGTGACTAAACACTTGGAAGTAGTCTGTCTTTCCTTCTTCCTAGTATGTCTTCATGTGGAAGCTCAGCTGAAACCTGTACACAATGACCCTGCTGGTATTTAAAATACCCATGACATAGCTTTCAGAATCACAGCAACATGCAAGTGACCACAGTGCGGCAAACTGACAGCTGAGTGTTGATTATAATACATTGATCCTAAGAAAGAAATTAAGTTCTGGTGTGGCAATCTAGGGAAAGCACTGAACTGCTAACTGCAAGGTCGACAGTTCAAACCCATCAGCTGCTCCTTGGAAGCTCTATACAGAGTTGCTATAAATCAGAACCGACTTTACAGCACTTAACAACAACAAGAACAAAGAAATGGCAAATAGGTCACTGGAAAACTAAATTACTTGTGTTGTTGTTTTTTTTTTTTTGTGAGCCTTGCCACAAGCAGTCCAGGGTAAATTAAACAGATCAACTATTTTAATAAAACAGGAGACATTTGGAATTTTAAACTGTTGTTACATTAACACTATAAACCT